GCCGCATCGCAGACGCGGGTCATGGCCTCCCGGAACCACTGTGCCTCAGCATCGACGTCGACAGGCCTGTCCGGCGCAGGAGCCCAGGCCTGTACGATGGCGGCCTCCAGGAGGAGGTCGCGATCTAAGCGCTTGAGCGCCCAACGTGGTTCAGGTGGTGCCGGTCTGACCGGCGCGCCATCTGCAGGGGCGGAGACGTCAAACCGAATATATCGGTGATCCGAACCTGTCTCCTCCCCGACAACGACGCGCCAGCCTTGGACACGACGCGCTAGCGAGGGGCATGCGAACGAGATGTCCACGATCGAACTACCCCTCGCCGTCACGAACGTGGCCACGGCCCCCCGGTTTAGGAGAACTAGGCCGAATCTTTCAGCCCAGTTCTCCAATGCCCTGCCCCTCGGGTTCGTGCGCAGGGAACCCCAAGCCTGCGACCAGGCGTTGAAGTCCCCCAGCACAAGAACCGGGTGGGGGCGACAGGCATCGACGACGACGGCCAGCTGAGCGAGCCATTGCTCGTACTCAGTTAGGTTTCGGTTCGGCGTGAAATAAGCGGCCACGACCGCTATATCTCCAACTATCGCCGCTACACAGCCCCGTCCCCTTGCAACTACTGCAAGAGGTGGAGTGCCGGCTGCGGTACCGTGCACTAGGGCCGCCGTGCCGTCCAAGTCGGTCTCCCAGGCAGGCCCGAGAAACCGATGGACATATGGCTCGGCGATAGCGGCGATGTTGATGGACCACTGTGCCATGCTCTGGAGCAGAAGATCCTGAGCATCGGCACCGTGGCCTACGTTCACCTGGAGGATGCGGAGATGTGGGTCCATCACTGGACTTCCATCCCCGCATCCCGCAGCGAACTTTGCGGCTGTCCAGCGGCACTCTCCGTCTGGATCAGCGGCTCGGAGGCGGAAGGTCGGCCTCCCGGCTTCGGTCGCGATAGGGCACAGGCCTTACCACCAACCCGGTGGTCGGCAGGCTTGCCCTCCGCTGCGCACCTAAAGCAACGCAGCGGAGCGTTGCAGCCACCCGCCTTGTGACCGGGCTGGCCACAGCGGAAGCATCGGTCACCTACGGTGGCCTCCGCCGTGCAGTGCACCCCTACGTGACCCACCGACAGGCACCTGAAGCACCTTGCCGGTCGGGCCTGCAGGAGCCGTGCCTGCGCCCTCAGGAAACCTCCGACCAGGAGGCTCCGTCCATCGGCGACCTTCTGGGCCGCCGCGATGGGGCAGCTGACAACCGCTGCCCCCTGTCCACCGGGGCCGAAGCGTATTGCTCCGGCCTTCACGCTGTCCAGAGGGCAGCTTCCCGTCTCCGCCACGGCGAGTCTGAGCTCGTCCGCCGTGACAGAGTCGTCCAGGCCCGTGATGCGGACTTCGGCGCATTTAGTGGGCCTGGACACTCGGACGTCAGCTGCATCCAGTGACTCCCTCAGCTTAGCCGCTAGGGCATCGGCTTTGGGGCCACTGGTAGCGCCGGCTACCTCGAGGAGCCGGGCTCCCGTCCGTGTGTTTTTACACCGGACGCCCGGAATCTCGAGGGCTTTGAGGTCCACGTTGGCCTTGACTTTCGTCAAGACCTCGGCGTACCCCACGCCCCTCTCCGCTGCCTCCGCCGTCAAAGTAATAACGACGGCCGAGGAGCGAGGGGCGCGGAGCTTCCTCGGCGCTCCCTTCGCGGCGGCGGCGGCGTCCCTCCTCGCCTTCTTGGCCGCTTTTTTGGCGGCCTTCCGCCTCTTTTTGTTGTCCCCGGCCACCGTCCAGCCCCGCTCCAACGAGCGCTGTGCGGTGTCAGCCGGGGCCGAGACTGGGGCTTGGGTTGGGGCCGCCTTCCCCCTCCCTTTGCCCTTTCCGGTCTTCTGGGGCGGGGGGGCTGATGACGGCCCAGCCACCCTAGCTGCTGGCTGGGCTGTTAGGCCCGCCCTGGCAGCGGCCGCATAGGTTGCTCTTGGCGGAGCCAGAGGTGGGCGACAACGGGCGCTCTCTATTGCAGAGATGCGCCTCATAATTCGCTCCTCCATCTCCGCCACGAGTCGGACTAAGTCCGGCTCCTTAGGGGCGGACAACGCCACAGGTGCCGAAGACACTGGTGTGGCACCAGCGTGGGCACGAGCCTTGGCGAGATCCGCCTCGAGGCGGGCTCTCTCCCTAGCGTGGGCCTTGCTCTCGGCCACGAGGAGTCCTCCCGCCTCGATGATGGAGCGCACGACCGCTACCAACGCCTCCTGTTCGGGACCCCTGGCTACCCCGGACGTCTGGAGCAGGCAATCGGCCACGCCGATTGCCTCCTCGATCCGGTCGACGGGGTTGCCGGTTTTGCCTCGCAGCTCAACGAGGCCAGCACCCCCACCCCCGCTCCCCACATCAGTGGTCGACATCTCGGACGCGACCCCCTCCTCTCTTCTCCGTCCGAGACCCCCATCTTCGGCTCCTCCCAGCGCCGCGGGCTGGACCGCCACCTTCTTCCGGGCCACCATGGCCGTGGGGAGTCGGCCTCCGCCGCGAGCGCCTCTGCGGCTTGTGCCGACTTTGGGAGCCGAGGCCTCATCGCTCGAGGCCGACTCCAATTGCCTCTTCAGGCCCAGGCGAAGCGAGCGCCTTTTCCGCTTTGGAGTACCCTTCTGGTGCTGCTCTGCAGCTGAGACCATCGGGGTACTCGCTCCGCTCCTCTCCGAGGCAGTGTCGGTGTTCGACACTACCTCCAGGTTTTTCGCGTCCTCCGCGATAACGTCGCCGGATTTACTGCTCGGCGACGGGCAGGTTCGACATTTGGTGCTCCCCCCAGAATACGAGTGGGAGCTGCCGGAGCCGTTTGGCTCCGGGAGGGATTCCCCAGACACTGTGTGTCCGGGACCCTCCTGGGTAGATTTAATAATCTTTGGCCTCATGTCATTGTTGTTTAGTTTAACGTCCTTCGACGGGGACGCCTTCGGCACTGGACTCCCTCCAGCGACTCAGCCCCTTGCCAGGCGTCAGAACGTGGGCTTAGAGCATTTTTTATAGAGGTTTACGTCCTCGCGGATCCGAAGATCCACCGGTCCTGTCCATTCAGGATTACGGCTGGGCCGGACGGGGTCTGCACCAGACCGGGTCCGTCCGCCCCAGGGTTTTTTATAGAGGTTGCCTTCCTCGTAGCCCTCGAAGAGCCGTCATTCCTGACTGTTGCCAGTCAGGGTTACGACATGGCCGGACGGTGGTCTGCGTCAGACCAGTGTCCACCACCTCTGGACAGAGCCAGCGGCAGTGGACCCGTCCGCCCCCAGCCCGCTCTCCCCTATGCCCTCTGCCAAACAGAGGGACATGCGGAAAGCAGCCCTCCGAACAGCCCTTGACAGGCCGTTCCCACCTCGGCCGGAATTGGCCGCAGGCGGCAGCGCCTCTCCCACCTAGGGAGAGAGGCGCTGCCGTCCCCGTTGCCCAGGGTGCACCACAAGGAGGTTCCGGACCACGCACCCCAACGCAGGTGGAGCCTCGGCAAAAGCTAGTTATTCAATATTTATAGAAAATAATGTATCCAACTATTCATACATAATTGTGATTTTACACTTACCTTGCTTATAGTGGCCACAGTTCGTGTGACTCATTGATAGATACGGCGCGGCGGTTTAGATGTTAAAGTGTTTCAAATTAGCGGCTTTACACACATTATTTATACTTTTATATAAAATTCATGTGAGTTATTATCATTTATTAAATAATAGGTATAGTAAGCTCAAACTTCCCTTCTAAGGAGAGGATTATGTCCAGTAGTAGGCTGTCAAAGGTTGTTGTTGTTTGTTTTGGATTAAATAATATTTAGGTAAACTTTTCAATTAGATACGGTGGTTCCCAATATTGGAATAAGATTCGGAAGAGCGGGATAATACCAAAAAACAGAGGCAAAGCAACTCTGATGACCTCTCTAGTGCGGTAGCTAAGCATTATAATGAGACACCGAGGTTCCGGTGATCTATTTTTGAAGTGAAAACTTCTTTAAATTTAAAATTTTTGAACAACACACAAGAATGTATTTTTTATAGATAGATATTTCATGTCGGAACTTTTCGAATGAAAAAAAGAAAGCCTCATTTAATTTAAAAAAAAACAAGTTTTCACTTATGTCAGCACTTCTGGAGTGCCACTGTTTTTTTTTTTCTTTAAAAAGACAACTCCCGCATTAGGAAAATATCCTGTGTCGCGGGGGACTTTACAAACATACATGAAACGGACACAAAGAACACCCAGACTCAGAACAACAATTTGTGGATCACACAAAGTGTCGTCCCATGTGGGGTTTGAACCCACAACACTCGGCGTAGTAGGAAGCGGCGTGGCGACCGCTTAAACCACTACGCCATCCGTGCAGTTTTTTATAGCAGTATTATGAAGTAGAAGAATTCGTTAGTTTGTAATTAATGAACTCTGTAACTACTGAACTAAGTTTTATTATTCTTTAGTAATTAAAAAGCATTAAGAAATAAATCTTTGTTTTGAAAATAAAATAGGAGTAACTGTAACATTACGTGCGAGAATGTCAGCATTAATGGCTGCACGGATGGTGAAGTGGTTCAAGCGGTCGCCACGCCGCTCACTACTACGCTGAGTGCTGTGGGTCCGATCCCCACATGGGACGACACTTTGTATGATCCACAAATGGTTGTTCTGAGTCTGGGTGTTCTTTGTGTCCGTTTCATGTATGTTTGTAAAGTCCCCCGCGACACAGGATTTATTCCTAGTGCGATAGTTGTCTATTAAAAAGATGAAGAAAGAAGAAGAAAAAGGTTGACTCTGAATACATTCTAGTCTGGGGTTGTCAGAATACCATCAACAACAGTCTGGGCGTTTTTTTATGTTTGTATTAAATTATTTTTTTGAAAATTCTAAAATCTAAGAAGTGAAGTTTAGGTTTTGTTTTTTTTGTGGAACCTCTAGTGCAAATGAAATACTTTGTATAGGTTCAGGTAGTCATATGCAATGTCTCAGAATAAGTATATTATTATTAGTCTTGTATTATTCGTTATGCCTTTTTCAGTAGGTATTTTATGAATGTATATATAATGTAATAGATCTAAAAGTGACATACTACATAAATCTTCTTTTAAAAGTAAATCTTCGAGATTTTCCATTTGTTTCACTATTGCATGACGCGTGCGCCAGCGTCACCGCAGTGACTGGGCGGTCGCCGCCCACTGAAACGCCAGTCTCGACGTCCACTCCGTGCGGTCCGCCTGTCGTTTCCCACCGCGATATACAAACCCTTATTTATAAATATAATTATATTTTAATATATAAATAAACGTACATTCGCAAGTGATACGAATTCCGCGCCATTTTAGTTTATTTTTATTTTATATTTCGAGTGGGAAACGGTGAAACGTGATTCGTTGATTCGATATTCCGAATTTAAATAGTGTTGGACAAACGGGGTGAAAATTGTTTATGGTGCTTTTATGAGGATATACTGTGAATTCTTTTGGTAAAAGGTACCTACTTTTGTTTATTTTATTTACACAAGTAAGAGGGTTATTTTAGTGTGATCAGCCGGCGGCCGGTCAACGGCCTTGTGTCTTGTTTTATTATATTTTCAAGTTGGTAACAATTAAAAGTAACATGGATAGTATTGGATATTATAATAATAATATGATTTGTTGTGTAAACAACAGTAATGAATATAAAGTTTGTGTATATTTATAAATTTAGTAACTGTTATTCATGCTTTATTATACCTAATGTTTTTTTTTATAAGATTCGTAGAATATAGCGATTTCAAATAATGCGATGAATGTGGTAATAGAACACTGATTAAAAAACAAAGAGAAACTACTCATGTATTATTATTTTAAATACCTAAACCAAATGGGATAAATTGATTTAGGTAAACTACTAAAATACATAGTGTGGTCGCGTGACTTCCAAACTTAGGGTAACGACCCTTCCCCGCATTTTCTTTCGAGTTCTTGCCGATTTAAATATTTATCGTAGCATTTTATTCAAATCAAAATAAGGTTAATATTTTTATAAAATTACCAGCTGACCCGGTAAACGTTGTTTTGCCGTATACATTATTTCAAAAAAAATACAATAAAATGAAAATAAATTAGGGAATTTAAGACCTACCCGATATGCACACAAAATTTCGTCTAGCCGTTTCGGAGGAGTTCAACCACGCACACCGTGACACGAGAATTTTATATATTAGATAGGGCCCTTAGGTGTTAGTTTCTACAGAGCACGTCTGTTATAAAGTGAAAACATTATTCATCTCCCTGTGTCGTTTTTAAAATAATTTACATATGAAGACTTAAACTTTCGCTTTCCATGCATGCATGGAACGGATATTAAAACTATCACGTATCAAGTATTACATACCAGGTTGCACTGGCCCTAGTCAAGGGCTGACTATATATTTTTTTTGTTGTTTTTTTTTTGTAAAAAGGGTTTTTTTTTGTTGACATGTCATGTCAGGACATGTCATAAAAAGCATGTCTGATGTATGACAGCGAGAGCGTAAGATGTATGACAGAAAAAAAAAACCGGTCAAGTGCGAGGCGAACTCGTACGTCGAGGGTGCCGTACCTACCAAGATTTTAAGTAGAAATTTTTGCAATTTTGTGAGTACCAAAATTTATCTTAATTTTCAACTTCTTTTATTTTTTGGAATTATTCCTTTACTTGTGCTGTAAGACGTTTCTTTATTTCAAATTTCGTGATTCTAGGTCAACGGGCACTACGATATAGGTTTTCGACCCAAAACCTATAGGGTACTTCCAGTTGACCTATAATTGACAATTTTAGTAAAAAGCAAGGTCTTACAGCACAAGTAAAGAGAACATTCTGAAAAATAAAAAAAGTTGAAAATTAAGGTAAATTTTGGTACTCACAAGTTTTCGCAAAAATCCAAATTTGCCCATATCTTTTTATCGGATTCAGGACCTTGACTTTTATACACCTAATATAATAAATACCCTAATGTAATAATAAATAATTTCACCTTGCTAGGTCTACCCGTTCTTGAGAAAATCGGTGGTGACACACGGACAGACGGACAAGAAAGTGATCTTATAAGGGTTATTTTTTTACCTTTTGAGGTACGGAACCCTAAAAAATGAAAGTAAAATTATATCTATGGCAATGCGTTCACTGATAAGTATGTGTAATGTAAGATTAACTGATAGAGCAAGGATTGATGACGTAAACTGAGAAGAACGAATGATGCTAAAGTTAGCGCATGTTGAAAGGAATAAATCAGAAATAATCATAAAAAGAAGTTATCAGGGTCCTGGAACTCGATGCGTACAGGCCTTGATAGACGTAGATATATTGACCAGATTGTTTGTACACAGAAGGGTCTAGTTTAAAACACGCGTAACCTTCAAATTTGTATTTGGAAACGATGAAGTTGGAAAATGCCAACTGAATGGTGTTCTATCGTCTCTGATTCGCGGACGCCAAAAGTGGTTTCAAATACTTAATATTTGTTTTTAAACGACTTTAAAAAAAGGTTGAACTTATCAATTAGGTTGTACTTTTTTATATTTGTTAATACAGAACTCCTTAATTTATCCACTAATTTGAAAAATATATATATATTTGGGATAATGTACTTTCCAAATCAAATCTTAAGAAATAATACTATTCTTACCAGTACCAGTCTACAATTGTTCATGATCTAACCGCATTGAAGTTGGTTATATTCTTATAATAATTAATTATTGATATTCTAGTACAATAAACTTACAACTTGTAATATAATTTAAATGGTGATTGCCGATTACGTGTCGTCGGACTGAGCGATAACAGACAGGTTCTATACGCACGCCGGAGTAATTCTATTCCGTCCGGTCCTAAGATCATTAACAGTTTAATTTCACTGTTTTCTCTCCTAGAGTAATAAGGTTTTTATAGATGTCGAGACTTACGCGTCTTGACTAGACTAGTAGTATTCTTACGTCTAGTCTAGACGCGACTACACGTAAGAATACCGAGATAATTACTAAGCATAAACGTATGTGATAAGTTTTGTGGTGTCCGTGACTATTTTTTATCATCGTAACATTCGCTTGCGAAAGGATGCTTAAATTAGGAGATGATGTTCCTTTGGCTTGAATCCCTTGCTGTGGTACTAAGATGAAACGTTGGTCATCCCAAAAATGGTAGAATATTTCTTTGCCCTGTCTCATTACAGGTACAGGTGCCCAGGTACATTAGTTAGCAAAATGGCGGTTGCATATAGGTATAAAACTATCTATTACTTTTGGTTATTTTGTTCTTATCTACAGCTGTGTACTCATCTCACAATAAAGTTTCAACGCTTGGAAATTCCAGTGTAAAAGGCATCAGCGATAAGCCCATAAGATTTTAAGCTAAGGTGTCGACAAGTCGATGTCTAACACTTATGTTCTCGTCGTTTTAATGACAAGTCTGTGTCAATTAACGAGTGATTATATTTGAAACGGATGTAATAGTTTTAGATAATAAGGATCATTGACATTTTTCCGTCCAATATGAAGCTATTTTATTTCAGGCAATATGTTGTGTTAATTATTAAATATAAATGAACTTATAACAAATAGATCTCTTCAGACACTTAGATAATGATTACTTCTGGCACAACTTGATGGTAATATAATCCGAGCCGTAGCCATAAAAACAAGTACCTATAGCAATTTTATGAGTACTATAATTCATTACAGTACTGTTTTAACTCCAACACTTTAAAAATGGTCCTTTCAGTGCGGCCCTTGTATTGCATTCATTGTATCAAAAGGGTTTTACTTGTGTTTTTAAAGAGTTTTATTATTTTTATTCCAAGACTTTTTTCGAGTTGATAAATTTAGAATAATTAGTGAGTCTTACAAAAATACGACCGACTTTGATGTTATTGATGTACGGGTATGAATTATGCCAAATAGAATTTTAATTAGTTATTTCAATACCTTTGTTACTTTTTACCATTTATAGAACAACTTTCGGTGTAAATAAATATCCAAACCCACTTTCGTTGCTTAAAAAACTCCAAATTGAGAATCTATTCCATTTTTAAAGACAGTGTCGTCAGTTAGGCGAAGATAATCATGACGAAATATTAACGTTGCAAAATCAATATTGAATCTATTTAAATCTAATCGTAACTAATTACTAAAACTAAACATAATCGGGCAGAAGATAATTGTGTATCATTATTCCTCTATCATCTTTTTCAGTCACTGTATTTGTGATCAAAAGAGAAAGAGCAAGTTCTGATTCCGGATGGTATTCTAAAAATTGTACAATGAACTGTTAATGTTGCCAGCATTCAAAGGCAAATTTCACCAATTAATAACAGCAGGCAGGCTTGGTTAGGTTAAATAGGTATTTAAAGACTCCCAACATTCTATAAGAGGTTTTTTTTTAAGTAGTACTCGTATGTTACTTTATTAAACGTCATCTAAATTAATAAGAAACATGAAGGTGTGTAATTTTATTCAAAAAACAGTTAATATGAAAGAGAATTTATTCCTTTACTAGAATATGCATTAATTATATTCACAAGATAACGGTAATAAATTTCTTGCACGAAATGATATACTGTTTTTAAGTAAACTTATGATTTTAAAATGTAACGGGACATGTTTTAAATAATAAATAAAAGTTTAAAATAATATAATATAAGCATTAATGTGGACATTATTAAAGCGTTTGTTTTTATTAAAATAATTACAAAAATTTTGTGACCAAGTATCTAATTTTTATTTATTAATATCCAATTTTTTTAATGTTGAAAACAACGCCCGCATTAGGAATGTATCCTGTGTCGCGGGGGACTTTACAAACATACATGAAACGGACACAAAGAACACCCAGACTCAGAACAACAATTTGTGGATCACACAAGTGTCGTCCCATGTGGGGTTTGCACCCACAACACTCGGCATTGTAGGAAGCGGAATGGCGACCGCTTAAACCACTACGCCATCCGTGCAGTCATTTGTCATCAGCCTATCGCAGTCCACTGCTGGACATAGGCCTTTCCCATTGCACGCCACTTAGATCGATAAAAAACATTGTCCGCGTGGTGATGGATTAAGAATACAGAGTGTCACCAGCCCTATTCATCCCATGGGTGTCGTAAGTACCGACTAAGGGAGCAACCTCTGCAGGACAGGCATTGCAAAAAGAAGAAAATCGTGTAACAAACCCTATACTAACCCGTCTGGCCAGCGTGTTGTAGTAGGCCAAAACCTCCTTTCCAAGGAGAGTTCTATCCCTAGCAGTGGACTATTAGAGGCTGTTGATGATGATGATATACTATTTAGTTGCACTACGTTACGTACTACAAAAATAATGAAACAAAAACGTTTGTGTTCAACTTTCGTAGTAACAGTTACCTAAACTATGAAATATATTAATAAAATTATTTTAATATGTACTTTCATATTTCTTTTATGTTTTAAATGTATTTAACGTTATTGCATTGATCTTACTACATAACTAGTTTAGTCTT